CGGGAAGGCGGCGGCTATTGTTCCCCGCGGGGGTGGGAGGTGCTCGGACTCGGGGTCCACGCCAGCCCCTCCCCAGTGTGTCCCCAGGTTCGAGGATTGGTGGGGGCCTCCTTTGTGTGTTTTCTGCCGGCGGCGGAGATGGCATCGTTGCTGCCCCAAGAGGTTAGGAGACGCGGGTGAGGGAGGTCAGTCGTGGCTCTGCCACTGCCTGGAGCTCAGCCCAAGCGACCCAGTTTGCCGCTCCCTCGGCCCTTGGGCCCTTGTGGAAGTTGGGAGGGATGTGGTGTTTGTAAGGCAGCACTCTGAACAATAGAGCCATCAAGAGACCTTCTCCCTGTCTCCTCATGAGTCAGGGACACTCTTCTCCGTTCCTTCAAAAAGGCCCTGGTCCAACAGGTCCTCTTGGCCCGGTTTCAGCCCCACTTCCCCAGCAAAAACACTGCATTTGTATCGGTGTTCTCCATGCATCCTCATTTAAATTAAGATCTCCTCCTTGGGCTCTTACTAATGTTAAAATCCTATTCTAATGGTTTTCCAGTTATTATTCTTACATAACAATGATCCAGACTAGATATAGGAACCAGTCAAGACATTTTGCCACAAGACCTGGGACAAGAAGACTTCCATCATATCTCCCACCATGCTGATCTCCTGGGGACCCTTTGCCTGCTTCTGCTACTGCAAATGACTGGACATGGATTTATTTACCTTGGTTCTTCCTGCATGTGTGGAAACCTTTTGTTCACTGTGCTTCAGGCTGAACCGAGCCTGAAAGTGGGTCTTTGAATTGTCTTTGTACTTTCCTAACTTGCCAAGGTGAGTATGAGACCTGAGCGAAGTGTTTAGGCATGGGCTTTGGGCCAGTTATAAAAATCCATTGGGAACCAACTTTGAGCCCCCAAAATAAGGGCATTTGTAGCTGGAGTAGAATACAAGGGAGCAATGATAACTCAGATTTCATCCTCTGTGATGATCCTCTCCACTACCAGTATCACCAGTGCAGTAAGTGCAGAGGGTTCATCTACCCTATCTTTTTTCTCTCCATCCCGGCCTTCTGCAATAGAGGTCTAAGTGAGCCAGTAGTCAGAGGTGATGAGGGTGTGGCTGGCAACTCAGTCTCAGCTCCCTGTGCCCAAAGTGTCTAGGGATGGCTCTGCTCACCCAGGCCCCTCTAAGGGAAGTTGCAGTGCCCTGAAGTAATCAGGCTATAGGCCTGTGGGGACTGGAGACTTCTGTCTCTCTTTTTATTTTTATTTAATATAAACTTCTGTTCACCCTATTCTTTTCTTACAGTTTCTGAAAGAAGGAGCAGAGTAAGGCCAAGAGTTGCCAGATGAAGAGGACCTTTCTGGATCTAAGTGGGATTAACCCATTCTTGTCTATAGGAGGAAGTTTCAACTAATTCTCAGGATAAAGTCAAAACAGGCCTATGACTGTCACTTGAATATTCATGGTGTAAACAAGCTTCTGGCTCCCCCAGGTCAAGCAGAGAAACACTTTTTATTAGAATGTTGGGTTTCTTCTTTGTTATTCAAACATACACCCACACACATATCCTCTTCACCCTCCCTAATGAAAAACCTCAACAGATGGGGAGCCTAGGCTCCCAAGCCTGCTGGCTGAGAAGATCACTTCACTCAAGGGTCAGTTGGCTGGTACAGAATGGGGGAGGGAGAAGGGACGAGTAGCTAGTATACTTAATCACTATTTTTTAATACTCCTTACAGATAGAAATTCAAAAACTCCTTTTCAGCAAGGTTAGCAGCCTCCTGGGGCCTGGGAAACTAATTTGGCTGATGTGTCTCTGATAGAGACTAGGCTTGGGTTGCTCCAAGGGGAAAGCACTTGCTCTGTATTCTCTCCCTCTCTCATCTGAACGCCTGTACAAAGAAATGGTACAAATGGAGGGTTAACTTAATGATTCCATCAGAGGCGGATTCTTCTCTGTCAGGTCGCTGGATAAGGCTGAGGTCTGAAAGCCAGGAGGTAGAATGTGTAGTCGCCCTTTCTTGCCACCTTTCCAGGGGCCAGGACTACTCTTCAGGCCTTTCCTCGGCAACTTCCCCACCCCCCTGGCTAGCTCAGTTGGGTCTTCTGACTCCACTCCAGGCTGGGTAGCCAGGGCAGGCTCTCCCTCGGCCGAAATCTTTTCCCACCCCACCTCCCATTTTGCATCTGGCCATTCCAGCTACCTCACCTCAGCGCTGCTTTAATTCACGTTTGACTGTCTCGACGGAGCAACCAGGGGCTCCCGAATGACCGCCACCCCCCATACGTGGGCCTGGGCTTGAGGCCCCGAGCCCTTTCTTCAGGTCCCAGGAGACTCCCCCACAAACTCCCTGATCCCACCTCCCTCAAAGCGTTCCCTAGGACAAAGGCAGAGCTGGCCACGGCCACAGCCAGAGAGCCATTTCCTCCCCTTGCGCAGACGAGGTAAAAGCCTCCTGGAGCCCAAGGCCCGGAGAGAGGCCGGCCCCTCACCACCTGCCGGTGTCGGCCACCGCGCCGCCTTTGTGCGGCCTCCCCGCCGCGGGGCCCGTGGGAAGCCGCGCGCACAATGGCGCCACCGCTCCCGGAAGACCCGCTGCTCCAGGCGCCCTGGACCCAGCGCCCGGTAGCGAGAGGCCAGCAGCCTCGAGGCCGTGGTGAGCTCCCCACGGCCCCCCGCCCGCCGCTCCCGGGAAGAAGCCTCGGTCTGGGATGGCGGTTTCCTTCCGCTGCAAACTTGCCCCTTCCCGCTGCAGTCCGCTCCGGGAGAAGGAGAGGCCTGGACCCGGAGCGCCAGGCCGGGCCCAGGGCTCCCCTCCCCCACTCTTCTTTCTCTGCTTTTCCGAGACCCGGCAGGGAGGAGGCGGGCGCCTTCGCCGATAGAGCAGCTATTGTGACCTTCCCTCGCAGAGCGGGAAGCCAGCCGGGTGTATACCGCCGGTGGTGGCGGGGGAGGAGGCGACTGTGTGCAAACCTCGGGGTGCGGAGGGGGTGGCACTGGGAAATAAAGGTTTGCAACCTCGGGCATTGGAGCCCTTCAGAGGGCGTTTGGTTGTGTTTAGATTCCGGTGCTTCCTAACACTAATTACAGGCTCAAAAGCAGCAGAATTTATGGCGAAGGCCAAGGCGGCTTGTTTATAATTTATGAAGTTTTAAATGGCCGTGCGCGGGCCCCCGCTCTCGCCCTGGTCGGCGGCCGCGCGGGAAGCGCCCTCCCCAGATTCGCCGCCGCCCGCACTCGCGCCGGGAGCCACCGACGGTGGCCATCCCATGACGCTCACGCCAGTGGCAGGAACGGATCCATCCGAGCGGCTCTCAGAAGCTTCAGGGAACCTTTCTCCAGAGGTGAGAGAGGACCGCAGGTTTGTCCCAAGAGAACTCCCACCCCACTAGCGAGGGGCGGCTGCGGCTGCCTGAAGAGGGAGCCCCCAACCCCGCGCTTCTTTCAGCCCGAGTGTGAGAGGAGGCTATGTCAGCCGGGCTAGACACCGTTTAAAATCTAATCCATGAAACGCTAAGCCGCAAATGACACTTGGGGCCTTGCAGACACCCGCAGACTCAGCAGATACTCCTGCGGTAACACACCGCGCTGGAAAACGCCTGGAGCCATGATGCATTATGTATTTTTATTATTTATGGTGGGAAGAGGAGATGAGGGAAAACCGGGCGGAATCTAAACAGCCTGACAATTCATCTGTTTAATATTTAGCCAGTTAAGAAGGGTTGTTGTAATCCCTGCAAGGCAGCAAGCTCTTCTTTGATTTCCCTAATAGCTTTAAAAAATAATTCCTTACAAGACAATTAGAAATTCTGCCTATGGATGCAAATTTCACAGGAAAACAATTTTAAGCCTTGAAAGTGGGTAAAATATCCCTTCGGTTGAAGTCATTTATTCTGTTGATACACTTCTACAACATGTATACTTTAAACCTGCTCGGATGAAGTGAAATTTAGCAAAAAGCATAATCCCCTCCCACCCCCAATCTAACATGCCATTTTAAAAACAGCACAGAGGAACAAGAAAACTAAATATTATTTTCAGCCATCACTATTTAGCGAAACACAAACATCCAAATAGAAACGATTGTTGTTCCACCAGAAGATCAGAAGTTAAATTATTTCCACACAATAGGAATGTCACCTCGTGTCACCGGGGATGTAGTAGGAGTTGCATTATTTGTCAAACCAAATAGAGATGCGTGGGCCCACTTTGCTGAAATACAAAAGAACTGAACCTTATCTGAAGGCGTTCTCCGAGTGCCTCCTTCTAGAGAAGCGGGTGTAAGTAGTGCGCCCCAGCTAAAACCACACTAATATTTACAAAATGGTTATAAATCCTCGAAGACATTTTGCCCATTTTGTCCAAAGAAGCAGGAGTGAACAAAGTGTTTATACTTGTTATGTTCCATTAATGAAACTTTTATTACTTTACATCACGGGTAACGTTTGTCTTCTTGAGAAATGAACTACTGACTTCTATAAGGAAAAAATCGTGACAGAATTTCCTAGAGAAAAAGCTTAGGTGCATGGCTTCAAATGATTATTTCTTTTTCTGCATCTTAGCTTTTTCATAGCTCAGTTCTTCTTATGACTTCTCTTGTGTCTTTGATTGTCAGTTTTCTTTCAAAGTTTATTTTTTACTACTTAGCGCAGAAAAGTGAGCTCTGGCCTCCCCAATGTAAGTGCAATCTAAAAAAGTGGATTTGTGTCTAGAAAGAAGGCGATAGAAACAGCAAAACAGGCAGCAGTGAAACACCCTACCCAGGTCATCCCACACAGAACATTTCTAGGTTTGCATCCTCAAATATTCCCCCCCCACACACACAACCTAAAGTCAATAGTTGGAAGGTAATCAAGTATCCCCAGAACCAGTTTGTGTACTGGATTCCAAATAAGTGGAAAAAATATTTCAAAGTGTCAGCCTACTGAGGGGCCTTCCACCGGGATTGTGCGCAAGATAAAGGTAGAGTGATCTACTTGCAAGTGTGCGTGATTAACACAGATACACTTAAGACTGAGAAATTTTTTTATTCTAAATATTTGTTCAAATAGTACCAGACAATTTGAAATCAATAAACTGTGTCGAGTGGCGAGGGCTGTGGCTATCGGGAAGAGAATAACGGGTGTCATGCCTCGCCATGGGGCTGCCTGACTCTACCCGTGAAGGACAATTTGCGGTCTTAATCCTTTACATCAACTACACACACCAGCCACGGTTACAACTGTTCAAAACTACTCTCTCAACTAGTTCAAACCAAGGGGACTAAAGAGGTGAAATGTGGCCCCCGCGGCCTGGGAGCGCGTTCCTAAGCTCGGCTGGAGAATTCTACAGATATACACATAAATACATTAAGACGAGGATAAATAATCAGGAAAACGAAATGACTCGCTTCAAATAATAAATACAGATCGTTGAGTCCGATGCAATCCTTACGGGGCGGGAAGAAGCATATAAATTAAGGTCTCCGCAACTAAACTAGACGCGGGCCATGCCCGGACTCTCCGGGTTCTGGACCCTCTGCAGGGCGCGCCGCCGATGGATCTCAGACTTACCTTCGGGACACCATTACCAGATTAGAGTCCCTCGGTCCGCAGTTATGTGGCACTGTCAGGCTTACAGAGGAGAATCCTTGCGGCTGACTTATGGCGAGTCACCCAAAGCAGGGCGAGCCTGGAGAGGAGGCCCAGACGCCTGCGCCTCGGCCGCTGTTGGCCCGAGACCGGAAGACAGCGACCGGGCCAGAGCGAGGGAGGGGGCCACCGAGCTGCCCCGCGGGCCCCGCCCGCCACCCCCGCCACCCAAGCAAAAGAGGTAATCGCGCCGCGAGTTCGGGCCGGTGGCCGCCGCTACAGATGCGTCAGTTTGGGGGCCTCGGGCAGGCGTCCCTGAGACGAGTGGTGGGCCGAGAGATCTGTGTAGGTGGGATGAGGGTCACACGGTCCGTGGTGGTGATTGCCGGGAATCTGCGCGGCGCAACTGTAGTCCACGCTGGCTGAAGATGGGTGCGAGAGGTGGCCCAGGTTGAAGACGGGCCCGGATGCGGGCGCCATGGAGTCGACGAAGTTGCCGCCCACGTACACCGGGCTGCCCTGCAGGTTGGCGCTGGCGAAGCCGCCGCCGTTGCTCGCCATGGGGTGGGGCTCGAATTCGGGCGCCGCGTAGCGCTTCTGCTGCGGCAGGCAGCTGCTGAGCGGCGCCGTGTAGGCAGCCAGGCCGTACATGTTGGGCTGAGATTTGGCGAAGGCGGGCGGCGAAGGCGCGTCGTAGGCCAAGCCGGGCACCGGTGGCAGCTGGCCCGAGTAGGCCACGTGGCCCGCGGCGCCGCCGAGCGGCGGGCTGCGCTCCGGGGACTGACCGGCCGGCGAGTGCAGGATACCCTTGGCCTTCTGGTCCTTCTTGTACTTCATGCGCCGGTTCTGGAACCAGATCTTGATCTGCCGCTCGGTGAGGATCAGCAGGTTGGCCATCTCCACGCGGCGTGGCCGGCACAAGTAGCGGTTGAAGTGGAATTCCTTCTCCAGCTCCACCAGCTGTGCACTTGTGTACGCCGTGCGCACCCGCTTGGACGCTGGGCCCGGTGGGCTCTTGTCCTCGCAGCTCTCTCCTGGGCAAGGAGGGAGAGAGAGGGGACGCTGAGCGGGAGAGGTGGGGACACCCTGGGCCGGAGAGAGGTGCTTCCCAGGCTCCTTCCTCTTCCTCCCTCCCTCCCCCCCACCTTAATCACGGCTGGAGTCGGGGAGGGGCGTTTGAGAGGTGAGATTCCAAGAACTCAAAGGCCCCAGGCCTACCTATCAGTGGCACCTGAAACTCCCATCTGCCTTCTGAAGTCCAACTCATTCTGCCCACCCCTTCCCCTTCAGCCTAGTCCATCATCTCGTCCCAAAGGCTGAGGAGGAGTTTAATGAGAGACTAGTAGCAGCTGGTAAGGCCTTCCCCGCCCCCCCCCCCC